TTCCACTAGGAACCAAAGAGAACAATAATAATAAATATGCTGTCGATTGATATAGCGAGATTGAATTGATGTAGCTACCCGACCTGACCAATAATGAACCCCAGTCACTGTCATTTGGAGAAATCAATAGAAACTCACTCACCTATTCGATTCGTTCGGAAAGAATAACCAACAATAAATTATGGGCACTAGGAAACAAAACAAGAACCAACCAATCTTCAACCAACAAATATGCAGGAGAAAGTGGATTGAGATGGATTGGACACTCGCTGAGGGGGCGTCACGCGCGTCAGGCCATTGCTCGAGTGGAACCAGGCCGAAAGGGAAGGGACGTCAGTGCAAGGGTGGGGTGTCATGGAGGAGATCATGTGAAACAGTACGTTGAGTTGAAAGAGTATGGACTAACATGGATTCAGGTGAAAAGTAGAGCAGAAGACAGCAGTGGCAAGTGGAGACGTGCAGTTGAAGCCCTATGTTCCATTAGGAACCCAAGGGAATAATAATAAATGGCTAAATTTGGGTATCTTTAATTCCAGAACTAATTAGTTTTTTTGCAAGCCGTTTTTATATCATTTTTTTAACTTCACCGTAAACAGAAATCGAAAGAAAAAAATTTTGTTTTCTTATTTAGGTGAACGGTTATTCCATCTCCTGATCTTCATTCATAAAGTTTCTTGCGAACACTTATCACTTGATCACGCCCTCATCCACTAATCAATACGATCAACTGGTTGGTGAATGAGTGTCAATCTCAGTCAAGTTTTATCGACTACACATAATAAAGTTAATCTCTACATAGTTCTGCTTATTCCACTAAATAAGAGAAATGCGAAAAAGAATAGAATCATGGATACAGTTGCAGCGAAGAAAATTTTCTTTTCGACGAAGTCATCATCTAGGCTGTACATTCGTGTATTTATATCAAATGGATGGGAAAGTTCCAGAATAATATCCGGTCAAGGGTCAAATTAATAAAAATTAAAATTGGGAATTAGAATGCCATAATAAACAGGGGGATGGATAAAACAAACAAAGTAGCATTATAATAACTAAGAAGACTGACATTGTGCAATTAGGGGTTAGAAATGTAGAAATAACAAAATAGACAGGATGTTTGGATAAAAACTAATGTGATGAATAATTGTTTATGCAATCAGGGATTAAATATGTAGAAATAGTAAAATGACAAAATAAACACTAAGTTCGGGTATGAAAATATGGTAGTGTAAACAGGGATTAAGACGTCCCACTCCGCCCAATACTAGATATGATAGATTCCCCATATCATACAATCGCGAAATGGCTGGTGGAGATTCTCGGGCCGGTGAAAGAGAAGCTGTCAAGACATAACCTCTGCGACACATTCGACTTTGTTGATTCAATTAAGAATGTCAATGTGGCAGAAAAGAAAATGGTCTCCCTGGATGTCGTGTCTCTCTTCACCAACGTTCCACTGACAGAAACCGTATGTTTCCTTTGTGACTACATTGAATCCAATAACATCAATGTCGGTATACCAATTCATTACCTGAAAGAACTGTTACTTCGATGCACCTTCAACGTATACTTTAGTTTCAACAAAGAAATATACAGGCAAGTAGATGGAGTAGCAATGGGTTCTCCCTTAGGACCCCTTCTAGCCGACTGCTTTATGGCTAGCTTAGAGAACAACGCCTTATCAACAACTATCAACGACCTCCATCTCTACAAGAGATACATCGATGATACTTTCATTATTTGTGATGAGAACTGTGATTTAAAAAACCTACTTCAAATCTTCAATAATGCCCACCCAAACATCGACTTCACACTTGAGACTGAATCCGACGGAATGTTCCACTTCCTCGACGTCCATCTGACAAGAAACGCCGACAACTCCCTGAAAAGGTCCATATACAAAAAGCCTACATGGAATGGACAATTCATCAACTTTCAAAGCTTCGTGCCCCTGAGCAGAAAGAGGAACCTGATATACGCTCTTTCCTCGAGGATTCGGAAGATATGCAGCGAGGAAGTGGTTGAAGAAGAACTGCGTAATCTTCGAAAAACCCTGATGGAAAACGGTTTCCCGCCCAGGTTCATAGAAAAGAATCTCAAACCTAAGAAGACTTCTGAACAAGTCCAATCCGTCCCAAAGAAAATGCTTCTGCTTAATCTAGAATTCAAAGGTGATATTGAAGCAGAAATCCTTCGCAGACGCCTCTCAAAATCGCTGAGGAAAACATACTTCGCCGCTAGCCTACGACTGACGTTTTCCTGCAAGAAACTGTTCAGCCAGAACGCGAAAGACAAGCTGTCGCATTGGGCCACCTCAACGTGCATATACCAGTTTACTTGCTCTTGTGGAGCTGAGTACGTTGGCCGTACCATGCGCCGACTTGAAAAACGCGCTCGTGAACACTATCCAGCCTGGCTAGTAAAAGGAGAACGAAAACGGGTAAATAGTTCGGTGACAGAACACCTGGTGAATTCAGGACATTCAGCGCCACTCGAAAAATCCTTCAAAATCATTTACAAGATTCGATCAAACCCATCAAAGGGAGTAAAATCAAGACATCTGGGCATAGCCGAGGCGCTAGCTATACAAAAGCTCAAACCCACGCTTTGTATACAAAAGAAATACGTCCAACCCCTGTCCTTGCCATGGCCATCATAAACAGGTAATTTTTAGTAATCACCATCCCATCGCCTTTCTTATCTAAACTTCCTGTTTATTCATGTTATTTCAAGTTTTTCTTAATCCCTGTTTACACTACCATATTTTCATACCCGAACTTAGTGTTTATTTTGTCATTTTACTATTTCTACATATTTAATCCCTGATTGCATAAACAATTATTCATCACATTAGTTTTTATCCAAACATCCTGTCTATTTTGTTATTTCTACATTTCTAACCCCTAATTGCACAATGTCAGTCTTCTTAGTTATTATAATGCTACTTTGTTTGTTTTATCCATCCCCCTGTTTATTATGGCATTCTAATTCCCAATTTTAATTTTTATTAATTTGACCCTTGACCGGATATTATTCTGGAACTTTCCCATCCATTTGATATAAATACACGAATGTACAGCCTAGATGATGACTTCGTCGAAAAGAAAATTTTCTTCGCTGCAACTGTCTTCTTATTTCCTCCTATGACCCAATGTGTATATTCCGTAATCATGGATACATTGAAACTTGTCTTAGAATAAAATCACTATAAGTAAGTCATGTGCAAATCATGCATACCCATGTTTGTCAGTAGTGTTGATCCGTGTCATTTATTTTGATAACCAAAATCTGTCTCTCCTTAACTGAATAAATTCGTAGCAGTAAAAAGAAAAAGGTGAAGACTGTCTCAGACAGTTAAATTGACTACTGTGTAAACAAATCATTCTGACATTTAACTAACTAATCTTTTTTAGTTAGAAAAGAGATGGATCGAGTATACATTGAGGAGGCTAGTGAATGACATCACCCTCAATGCAGACCATTGTTCAAGGGGAATCTGAATGGGATACGACTAATTGGTCATCGGTTCAAGGGTGACTGACATGGAGAAGATTACGGGCAATCGTGGACGCAGCATAAAATGATAGCACCATATAGAATAAGGTAGAGATGTGTTGTTTTTGAAGCCAGTCCTATGTTTCATATTAGTTTGTGTATTAGATGTATCACACAGTCAGTGAAACAGTATTACTGTTTACTAGATGACGCAGTTTCGAATAAAATTTATTGTTCATAATCATATCAATTGTAATCCCACGACTTTGAAACTTCAGTTTTATAGTTTTCGTTTTCCTCTCCTATTGGTCGTCTTTGGGGTAGTAGAATTTTCCAAATGTTCTGGTGGACAGGTGTTGAATCATTCCTATTACATGTATTCTCTTCATTTGATTCGATAAACAAAGGTTCCATTATCAATCTCTCCCTCCACCCTGTTGTCACATTAGATTTTAAAAATGTCATCCTATCCCATCCTATTGTATGGTTGTGTGTAACTGCATGTAGTGAGTGCTATAGCTGAACTATTCTCTAGATTTCTTATATTATTCGGGTTAACTAATCTGGATTTTGCTAGGTTTTTATGCTCGGCTAGTCTGACTCACTAACCCTGCTCTACTACTATGACTTACGTATTCGACTTGAGAATCATTGAAGGCAGGGTATTGGATAAAATAAATTGTTTTGCATGGAGGATTTAATCATGAGCTGACATCAGTTAGAGAACCACTGAAAACCCAACTGGGAGTACTGGACAGCTGTTTCGTCCTAGTTTGGGACTCTTCAGCAGTACGCACCCCCCGTGATTCGAACCCACGACCTTCTGAAGAGTCCCAAACTAGGACGAAACAGCTGTCCAGTACTCCCTGGTTTTCCAGTGGTTCTCTAACTGATGTCAGCTCATGATTAAATCCTCCATGTAATCAAACAAAATCCCTACAAAACCAATACTTGAAAATAAATTGTTTTGTTTCATTGGCTCCACAAGATTGATCCTTTAACCGAGTTTGTGGGGAGTTTGAATGCCAGTCACTTTATTCCTGCCTTGTTAAGAATTCTACGTAAGCTGGTTTCCGAGGTTCCTTCCTTGTATGAAATTACCACGGATGATCTAGATTCCTTATTGTTGGCGTCGTCATTAATATTATTATTATCCCTATTATTGTTATTGTGCTTTGGCGGCACAGCGGTTAGGACACTCGCCGACCACGCACATGGTCCAGGGTTCAATCCACAGGCATCGACGCACTCCTCTACCTCGCTAAGCCAGAAATAATGCTGTAAAGAGGAAAGGTCCGGCATGGAGCTAGCGACCCCATCCTGTAAAAGTATTCACTGCTTTGGAAACTTCAAGCCACTAGCTTGAAGCCCTGTGTTCCACTGGGGAAAGTGAAGGAAAAAAATTTATTTTTATGTCCTATGTTCCACTCGGAACCAAGGGAACAATAATGATAATAATTTAGTTAAAAGGAATAAGAGACGTAAAGTCACAGTATATATTTACCTACTCGATAGGCATCAACATCCAAATGATTTTTGCATGCATGATTTGTCAGCATAGCTGTTAACAGATCACGTCGATTAAACTGCTCCAATCCATTGCATCGTAAACTATTCCGTTTTGAGTCTAATACATTCGAGATAGCCAATTTACGATAGACTTCAGGGGATTTATCACATGAGATATTGTCATATTTTAATCTGTAAATAAATTAATAAAATGTTATTATTATTATTTTCTATCTGTTTAAGAATAAGACTAAAATACGGATTCAGTGTATAAGTAGGCATAGGATTTAAGTGTTGGTTTGTAGAGATTTGATTGGTTTCAGGATTTCATCATGAGCTGACATTGGTTAGAGAACCATTGGTAAACCAACCAGGAGTACAGGACAGCTGTTTCGTCCTAGTTTGGGACTATTCAGCAGTACGCATCCACCACAGAGGGGTTCGAACCCAGGACCTACTGGTTACAAGGCGAGCTGGTATACTATTAGGCCTCTGAGACCCGATCCCAGGTCCCAGTACTCCTAGGTTTTCCAATGGTTCTCTAACCAATGTCAGTTCACGATGAAATGCTGTAGGCGTAGGATTGTTTGCATTCACCAAATAAGACGGGAATTTCGCTTGTGATTGGACACTATGGGATGAGTAATTTAGGTCATGCTCCTGGTTCTTAGTTCGGTGCAGACTGAATTCTATCCGTTAACTTTGTAATGCCAGCATCATGTTAGGTGACTAGATATTATGGTTCACTGTGAATAGTAGTTAGGGGGGGGGAAGACAATGAACCATTCATCAACAAGACATACCTGCAATCTTCAAAGAATTCATGTCCCTCTCTGAGATTCGAACCCAGGTCACCCAGTGCTGCAGTCAGAGATGTTATCAATGAACTATCTGGACTCTTAGTTGACCTAATTAATATAAGACTGTATTGAATACTCTGTTTGAATGCTAGATAGTAACTAACGTAATGTGTTTAGTCCAGACTGAATTCTATCGGTTCAAAATAGAATTCTGTATTCTGTATCTGTAAGGACCTTGATACGTTTCAGTATAGATTTTGTCACGAACCAAAAATCAAGGAGTACCTGTAGGAACCTCTTCAGCAGTGCACACAAATGACCCAACAGATATTGAACCTAGTACTTTAAGGCTACAAAACTATTAGTTGTTCAATGATCCTTTGTCCTCACTGACTCTATGATTGATGTGTGTGTGTGTGTGTGGTAAAATCTCCGTTGAAAACTAATTAAAATCACAACAAGATCTAAAATCGGACCGATGTCGTCTATCATGTTATAGTAAAGCAGACGCTTATCGATGCAAGTGGTTAGCGGTGGCTGAATGTGAGAGGGGTTTATCTCATAACCCGAAGGCCTTGTGACCGGTTCTTGGTTGGATCATGAAGGAGGAGGCACTGTTGAAGTCACAAACTGTGACGAGATAACCATCCAACGCTCTAAGGTTCTCAGTTGTTTTCTATCTGATGCCTATTCCTGACGAAACGATGTAATGGAATAAGTCAGAAATTTATTAGTAGAACTATTTTGAAACAGTTCAGCGACGATTAACGAAAGCAAAAGCGGAGTACAAGAAAGACAAGATAAATTTTAAGTCCCACTAGCAACTAGCAGAAACTGCTGCAGATAAAAGAGACATATCATTACACTGTATCAAATTACCAAGTCAATATTGTACCAAGAGATTAGGCACAGATGAAGTGAATGAAACATAGTGAAGGAAACCTAAATAAATACCAAAGAGAAGCAAACGAAAGAATAGCTTAGTCACTTCAAATGATACTTTAATAGATAGAAACTCTAAATGTTCTACATAAATACCAACAGGGTACGCAGAACTGCCAGTAAATACCAACCCTTGAAGGAAAACAGAAGTCTTGAAGGCCATACAATAACTCAAAATTTGAAGGATATGCCGCTAAAGCCCTATTATGTTCCACTCGAAAGGCAAGAAATCCTATTTATAGAACCACAAGCACATTCTGAATTCGACTGCTAGCCACCAATGGTAAGTAACATAATGTTCACCTTCGGACATCAACTAATTCTGCATAATGACAGTCAACCTGTCACCTAAGATCGAATATTTTGATACAGTAAAAAGCAACGGATAGGAAATACAAATTGTCGAGTGCTGGTGTTTGATCACGAGTCGTCCTGACTTAGAGAGCCACCGGAAATCTAAGAATACTAGACGCCTGTCTCATCCTCAGCAAACATACGCCCCAGAGTTCGAACCCAGAGCCTTCAGGTTGCAAGGCCAGCCATTCAGTCAATGATACCCCACCTAATGGTTTATGAATATCAACTTCCGTGACTCGATGGACCCTGCTGGTCGCAGCAATTACTCTTCATTGACAGTGACTGATGGGTGTGATGTATGCAGCAAATTACCAGTAATCGGAATTCACGATCCATTGGGTCAGGTCTCAGTGTCTTAATGGTCTACACGTTCACCTTGTAACAGGGAAGGTCCTTGGCTTGTACCCAGGCGGACGCGTAATGTTAAAAAGTCCCAAAGAGGTCTACACTAGCTGATGTCAGATCATGATCAAATAAAATTAACTGCTACAAATAAAGTTTTCAGTGTACGTGGTTAATTTCTCGATTTTATCTGGAACTTAGTCAAGTAAATATATTACACTGCATCTCTCTGTACGCTTTATTAAATAAACAGGGTTAACATTATTTCTCTTATGTTAAAATATTCCATAAGTTAGTTTCAGAAGATATAAATTCCCTCTTATTTAACAACATTAACCTAACAAAAATAGCTGACTGTATTTACCACTGATGTCTGTCTGTCTCTCTATTTTCAGCATAGACGTTTGCACCGATGTGCAGCAGTACAAGCTGCCACACTTTCTCCATGTAGCACACAAAGAAAGAGAAGAAAATTGAATTCATGAGCCGTCTGATCGGGTCCCAGTGGCTCAAAGGTATACTAGCTCGCCTTGTAACAAGAAGGCCCTGGGTTCGAACCCTGTCGGTGGGTGCGTATTGATGAAGAGCCCCAAACTAGGATAGGGGACACAGCTGTCCAGTACCCCCAGTTAGTTTTCCAATGGTTCTCTAACTAATGTCAGCTCATGATGTAATCCTGAAACCAATCCAATCCCTACAAACCAACACTTGAATAACTTAATGTATTGTACATGATTAATTAATTAAAATTAAATGACTGTTTATTTAGCAATTATGAAACAAAAACATCTTAGTTATTTATGACATTTATTTCTTCATATAAGACATGCGTCAAATAGATTATGCCTAAAATTTTAATATTTAACCACACCAGAATAAATTCTAGTGAGATTACCGCTGTTTATTCCTCAGGCAATCTAAGAATATAAAATGATATCTTCATTTCATTTTACAGGTTCTCATCACCTCCTGCAGACTACCTAAAATTACAATGGTTATATAGATGATGATAATAATAATAATAAGATACACTTTAATGTTTTAGTGGTAGTAGAGAAGAAATCGACTATAAATTTGGCGCTTCCTACCAAATATTAAGCAGCATTACAATTCAACTGTGATCTCAACTCATCACTGAATAAATCTCAATCTTAGAAACTGTAACCAGCTTTTGCGTTTTGAGTTGATATGTGAACCTACAAGCGAACAGTGTTTGTAAATTTTTTCTGTTTTCTGGCTTCCCCCTCTTTTCTACTTTGAAAGCGTATAAATTAATGATGAAAACTTTAACAATTAAAAATTGCAATGTTGCTTACATTTAGGATGCGTCAATTTTATAGCCGATTTCTTTTCTACTACCACTTAAACATTAGAGTATGTTAATACCATCATCTATATAACCACTGTAATTTTAGGTAGTCCGCAGCAGATGATGAGGACTTGTGAAATAGAATGGAGATATCCTTTTATACTGCAAATTTCATCTTCGTTTCTTTATCGAAATCTAGGGTCAAATTTTTGGAATAAGCAGCATGTTCAGCATCGGACAACATCATCCTAGCCAAGTGCGTACACCAGGTTAAATATGTACTACGAACCATGCCAGTCAGTACTCACATCACAATCGTATCAATAATCCTATTTACATCCTTCAAAATCCTACATAATAATATGACATTATCGCTTTTGAGAAGCTCAGGAGAGCACAGTGGTTAGGAGTCTCGCCGACCATGCACATGGTCCGGGGTTCGAGCCCTCGCCGACGCACACCTGATATCAATGGTCGGCCTGCGAATTTTGGGCTACCGATATCCATGCTGAAAATTCCATACTTGTACCAAAAAATACGGTGTGGAATCAAACTATAAAAAATATGCGCAAACATTATAAAAGGAATCGGTAGAATAAATGAGTTAATAAAATTCAAAAGAAGAGGTTGATTTATAGCCAAAAAGTTACAGCTACTTTATGTGACAGATTACAAGAAAGACATTTTCAGAAATCGACAAGTCATGAGACGATCATCAAGACGATTATAGGGAAACCTAATACCGAGGTAGGTAATATTTTCAAGAGTTAGTTATTAGGGATCGGGTTTCTTTCATATTTGGTCATGGACTTAAATTAGTTACAGAACCACTGAAACCAATGGAGTAATGGACACTTGTTTAGTCCTGGTTTGCGATTCATCACCGATACCCACCCACCTACTGGGGTTCGAATGCAGAACCTTCTAGGTACAAAGAAAGCTCGTAGATCATTTAGCCACTGTGCCCATCACTCTCTGTCCCATCAATTCTAACTTCCACTGACTCGTGATTTTAGCACGACCATCAGGCATTTTCGTCGGCACAGCGTCTGTGACACAGCGGTTAGGACGCTCGCCGACCATGCACATGGTCTGGGGTTCGATCCCCGGCCACAGACGCACTCATTTACCTCGATAAGCCAGAAATAATGCTGGTAAAGGGGAAAGGTTTGGCATGAGGCTAGCAAACTTATCTCGTAAAATTAAACACTGCTACAGAAACTTCAAGCCATTAGCTTGAAGCCCTATGTTCCACTGGGGAACGTGAAGAAAAACAAACCCAGTTATCTTTGTCGGCGAGTATTCCTACTCACTCCGAGCAGGAAAGACCCCAGTGGTTACGACTTCTCACTAGAACTCTAGGCAACTGCGTCCTGCAGACATTCACTAACGCATTGACAGAAGTTAGAGTTTATGGACAGCTAAATCAGGCTCACTGGTTG